CTGAAGACTTGGCTCGACACCATCCGTCAAGACATGGAAGCAGTTCTTGGACATTCTACCTTCGGTCTTCGTCGCTGTAGAAGAGATTGGGTGGAGCTTTCCAGATCCGCTGCCGCTAATCATCGTACATGGGGAGGAACCGTTAGTGACATCATTGAGGCCGGCTAGATTAGGCATGATCACGACCGTAACAAGTACAAGTAAGTACATTTCATCGGGTTGTGTTGGGTTTGGTATTCATTTGGACGCACTGCATCGGACGCTGTCTTGGTCTTCATACTAAGGTGCCAACGTACCGGCGCACGTTGGCGGATAAAAGCCAACATACTCCATTTACTATCCAAAACGTATCTCTATAACAGCAAACCATGCCGTCCGCTCAAACGGCGGGCCCTGATTTAAGGCGCAATTGATGGGCACTACCAAGCCTACGTGTGTGCTGGTCCAACTGCTTAATCGCTTTCTCCAAACTTACAGTTTGTTACCATGTCTACGACATAAGATGCAACGAAAAGCCAAAACGGATTGTAATCCGTATCTTACGAATCTCTCTGAAATACTACTTAACAATAACCGAAATCAATAAATCGGCCGCACTAGCTGAATAAAAAGGAAAGGCAAGGCGGGATAGGCGTAAGCAGCAGAAAAGGCAGCCGCTCGGTGAGCTTTATAAAAACCTAGAGTGGTATTCAAATCAAGATCTACCCCTCGCGCCTGACCGGTGTCTGAAAGGAGCTGCAGGCTTCTTGCCACAAACCAGCTTTTTGCGTAAGACAAGCTGCCACACAGTGGAGCGCCGCGGCTTTGTCTACGCGCTGCATCCTTCAGGTCGGCAAAGTATGAGTGTACATGATTTCGTCGATTAGGTAAACAGGTAAATAGTCGACCAAGGGACGTAAATCGCAGTTTTTCTTAGTTGACATGACAAATGAGTCAGTGGTATTATTGTAGGGAAGGCTCGGCGATCCGCAACCCTCAAGGCTTTCAGTGCCAAGGATATAAAGTCCTATGGCAAACTACAATTACATATTCTTTAAGGGCAACTTACTCAGTAAGAAATAACTACCCTTGCAGACCTGATTGCTATCCATAATGGATACTCACGTTCAGACGAATGGCCCTCTAGCTTCCTCCTTCATATGGAACTGGCTTGGACAATCGGAGGTTGACAAAACTGACACGCGTCAAGTGTAAAATAAAAAGGTTAAATGTCGTGAGAATCAGTTATTCAGTGCAGCCGTGGCTACAATAAAGTAGCTTAGCCGAAGTTGATAGCTAAAAAAGGAATTAGCGGCAAATCAAAAATCGTCGACAAAAAAGAAGAAATATGTACACATATATCTTACCGGCATGTCAAAGCAGGATTTCCAGTGCTCATAATAAGATTCCCGTAGAACATGGTCAGTAATGCATGCCTCCAGCTCCTTGCTTTCAGATTCAGCCAGTTTATCGCGAAGCATGGCTTCCTCGAGCTCACTTGCTTCTGATTCATTAAGAGCTTGTTTCACAAGTTCCGGCTCGGGGAGCTAAGCGAGGAATATAAATACAACCTCAACTTACTCCAGGTTGGTAATTGGGCATGCCCAAACCCTGTCCAAAACTTGGTTTGCATGGGTCAATTATCGAATTGTAGTGTGTTCGGTC